GTGCAGACTTTTTCAGCACTCGGGACCTTGCCAACCCTTTAACCAGAGCGGTCTGTAGTAGATCTGTGTCAGCACATTAAATGCTTCATGTTACAAAGTATTCAAAAATATATCTTTCAGGTCCATCTGGGAAAGAAGGAGACTGGGGGGAGGCGGGGGGATGTATGGGGGGGAAGGCTTTGCGAACTTGAATTCTGTCATTTCTTTGTGGATTCTGTGTGAATAGGGGTAGGAAGACACTGATGAAGTAAATGTAATCTCCTTTAATAATCCAGAATATCCCCAACATATGCATGCTGTACTTCAACTTGTAGGAGAACTGTCATGGTGTGAATGTATCTTTGCATTCTTCTAGAATATTTTTGAATTGGATTTGGTTTTGCCTTCAATTAATGACTGAGAAGGCTTATCAGTTATACTTCTGGATAAATGATGAGATGCTGAAAAGCATCTTTATAGTGTTCTGGTACTTTAGAAATAGCTTGGTCATCCACCTGCAGAAACAGTGCGAGTTCCTAGCAGTTCTTTTACACCACATCCTTCCAGGAGGCATGTTACAATAAATAAATATGCTGTAATTGTATGAGTAAGTATGTAACTTAGTGTTGATATCAAAAGCTATAAATGGGAGTAGCGTTTCAGTATACCATTCAAATAATAACAAAAAGTATAATCAAAACCTTGTGATTATAAGAAACCAATTTTGTAATAGGGGCTCTAGACTTAGCATGACTGTGGCAGGCCAATTCTCAATTTAATGTTTTGTTGTGGTTTTTTTTTTTAGCATAAACACAGTTAAAAGTGTGTTCATTTAAAAATCCTCCTTATATCAAATTAAAGATATGAAGACAGTTGTACATTTATAATGATGATGATTCCCTTTATTGTAAGAGGCTCAAAGCACTGCCAGTCTTTTATTAGACCAACTAAAACAGTTGACTAGGTGATGAACTTGGAGTTTAAAAGAGCTTTCTTTCTATTTTGGCTGCTATATTACCAGGTTAATAGTTGTCAGTGGAAAGGCAAAATTGAGGGAGCTGTCTTAGGAAATTGTGATTGAATGATGTATCAGTGTAGGTACAGGCATGTGTCATGACAGAACATTGTAGTTTTGTGGTATTGTTTTTCCTCTGTTGAAGCTGGTTTAGTCCCCTGTCCTGGAGCAGTTTGTTCTGTGCTGCAGTGAGCTACAGCTTTGGCTGTATGGATACAGGGCAGTTCTACACAGACTTGTCATACAGATCGCTGCAGACATCTGAATTGTGTTTCTCTGTGTGTGTGTGTGCGTGTGTGTCTTTTTAACTTAGAATTGCTTTGTTGGTTACAGCACAATTCCACAAGGAATATTATTAGTGGATAAAATAGTGGTGATGAGCTGGCCTAGAAAGGATGAATACTTCTTGAGAAGGTGTCCTGGTTTTGGCTGGGACAGATTTAGCTCTTCTTTTTAGCAGCTGGAAGAGCTCCGTGTTTTGGTTTTAGTCTGGGACTTGTTATGAGAAGAATGCTGATAATGCACTCATGTTTATAGTTGGCACTGAGGTCTCAAGGACTTTTCAGTTGCCGTGTTTTTGCCAGTGTGCAGGTGCATGGCAGGCTGGGGGGAAAATAGCTGGGACTCCCATTGTGATTTGAATTTAGATTTAGGATTGAAGGCTAAATTGGCCAATGGAATATTCCATATCATGCCATGTTGTGCCCAGTATATAGACAAGGGTTGACTGGAATGAGGGGCCTTTGCTCTTCCGGGGCTCTCCCTCTCAGACTCTCGGAGTGCTCTCTCTCTCTCTCTCTCTCTCTCTCTCTCTTTTTGGGCCTCTCACTCGTCCAGGATTGCGGTGTTGTGGCTTGGCTTACTTGTTTTGGGATCATTAGCCGGGACAGGACAGGCCTTGATCACTGAGTGGTGAGCAATTACACTGTGCATCCCTTGTTTGTATATATTAGTATCATTGCACATATATATATTCATATAACATTAATATTACTTTTATATTATTAAATTGTATTTATCTCAACGCATGAGTCTCCTTCCCTTTTTCCCTTTAATTCTCTTTCCTGTTCCCTTGGAGGTGGGGGAGAGTGAGTGAGCAGCTGTGCGGTGTTTAGTAACTGGCCAGGCTAAACCGTGACAGAAGGTTACATACGTTTTCTTTTGGAATATGCCAGAACTTTTTCTGAGAAAGCTGAATTACCTTTCAGATTATTGTTGATTTGTAGACTTTCTGTATTACCTGTGATAGTAAATTATGGTCTTTGCAATTTGTTTTTAAGATCTATCTGCTCATCATGGTGTTCTGTTGTAAATCCTCATATTAAGTTAATATTTTTTGTAGTATCTTCTAAGAATTTTGCCCAGAAATCAGTATCAAATTTATCAGTTGCATTTTCATTTGCCAAACCTACAAGGAATCTAATGCTGTAAGTCATTTTTGCAGGCAGTGAAATTTAAGTTGAAGCCAAACAATTTTTCTTGTAAATTATAAATTCCATGAAATATGTGTGTCTAATAGTGCATAATTTACAGATTTTTCACATTTGTAGACTAATACCTAGACAGCTTATATGAATTTGTAAAAATCTTGTCATTGTGCATTTTCCTAACTTTTGCATAAACTCTTAGTAAATAGCTTGTCAAAATAGTAAATTTTGGTTTCTGCACTAAGATGCGTATTTGAATCCTGACTTGAGTCAACTAAGACAGCTTATAAAAATGGAAGGAGTCAGAAATTTTTTTTTTCTGAGTAAGTCTGGTTTTTTTTAGTATCAGTGCACAGAAGATTAAATATGAAACTGTGACAATACATGTTAAATCCTTGAAATTAACTTATCTGTCAAAATAATAATAGATGAATTTAGGGCCAGGCTTTATAATGAAACCACGAAATAGCTAGAAGTTGCTCAAAAAAGGCACCTGTCTGACATGCTAAAACACCAAGTTTTTTCACAGCCTTCTTGAAAACTGCAGAGATTTCTGCTGTTGAATAAATGCTGTGTTAACAAACAAGGTAAAAGCCCCCACAGCTGGAGTTACAGCACTACTGTGGGTTTTTTTTTCCTGCTGTCTTGTAAATAAAAGAAAGGTTTAATAAAAGACCATCTTTAATCCTTTCTAACACTTACTAGCTAGCTGCTCATATTGCTGCTTTTGTTTAATTAGCAGGATATGCATTTTACAATCAAAATATGCTCTTTAGATGTTCAATACCTGGATGCTGGCATACTCAAGGTGCTTCTAATAACTAAAAATTAATACTGGTTTTGGATGTTAATTACATTGCAGTATCCATCCAAATAGAATGTGATAAGTATCAGACATCTAATAACTATATCGTTGACAAACTTTAGTGAGATTAATTTAAAATGTGATCATTCAAAGAAACATAACTTGGACTATATGTTGTATGGTGTACTCTCACTCAGCTGAACAGGCTGCTCTTTACATTAGCCTGTGTTTTATTGTAAATGGATTTAATTGGTGGCAACTGAAAACCATTAGAATGAGAATTTATTTAAAATATGGGGTTTGTATTTTTTATTTCTGTTAATGTAAAAATGATTTCTTAGAGTGTTTTCAACAATTACATGTCGCATTTAAATACACTAAGATGCAGTTTCATGATTAACAATAATAAATTCGTACTGCTGCCAGAGAGGAATGAACATGTTTTCCTCTGCCTCATACTAACACCTGTGCTGCTTCTTGAGCACTAAATTTGGCTGAACAAGTTTTTCAGTGTCCTAACCTGGTCACAGCCTTCTGTTGTGAATGACCTTCCCAACACTGGGGAAGCAGCAGGAACACATTGTTAATGGCAAAGATGAAGAGAACCAAACTGCTCCTTTAAGCACAGACAGCTTATAAATCAGTCCTCTGGCAGTACTTCCAGCCAGAATGATGGCTTGCTGCTGCCAAAAGGATGTTTTTAGTCCTATATCCTCTTCAAGTATCCCTTCCCCTTTCTTCACACTGCATCCTGGCACTTTTCAACCCCTCTTGCAGCTGATAAACTAACTAACTTTACACAGCATAGAGTGCTGGAGGGTTGGAGGATTGAGTCATCTCATGGAAAATCCCTTGGGCATCAGAGTGGGTGCAGGATAAACAGTTCGTGACCATAAGCAGGTGGGAATACTGAGGCAAGAGCAATGGGAACCTCTCCTTCCACCACAGTGGTGAGGATCTGTTTGGATAAGCTTACTACATTTGTAGAACTACTCACTTGGTCTCAACTTCTTCGTAAAATGCTTTTATGGAAAAGTGTGGTGAAAGTTTCAGGAACCTTAACTGCCTTTCAGAGGTGTTGTGGTACCTTGTTTCTTGTTGGCATTTTGATGCTGATGCTTGGCTGGCATACTAGAGCGGTCTTAAAGAGTAAGACTTAACTGGCAGCTGGGTGCTGATTTTTGAATGAAGAACTTATAGTGCTCAAACTCTTCTCTGTCAGCAGTTAAAGCCTCAGATTGTCAGTGTTGTTAAAGCATACACTTTGATTTTCAGTGTTTTTTCTAAATACATATGATCCATCATCAAATTCTTAGGACAAGGATGAGATTATTTGAAAGTGCCATAGGTATATTTAAGTACATCTTGACTTAGTTTTGCTCAAGGTCCGCTGTGTCCAGTCACAAATGCAGACCTTACCTGTGTGACTGTGTGTTCACTCTTATCTGAAAGCAATGCTGTATTGCAGACCTAGAGTCTGCAGCTAGCTCATTTCTTTTTATAAGCGTTTGTAAACTGTGGTGGGATAAATGATAAGAGAAGTAAGAAGTGTACACTGCTGAACTTGCTAACATCTTGAGACAGAAGGAAAAGTTGTGTGGTTGGCTCTTTTTTTTTTTTTTTTCCCTGAAAAATAAGTTCACAGGAATAGTGGATAATGTATATAGAAAGAAGGTGTTCTTGGGAAGAATAAATTACAGGAGTCGTTGCACTTTGATATCAAGCTCTTTCTCTATAACAGCTTTTGCTAGTAATACTGTCTTCTATTTTTTAGTGTGGACCTGAGAAGCTTCTTTCTTCTGGTGTCAGTAACAGGCCTTTGACCATGGGTGATTCTCCTCCAGCTACAGGTATACGTAAAAAAAAGACTTTGATCTGGTTCACTATATATCTGCACAGATTGTTCTTCATCAGAACGTTTTTTTGGTGAGGCCATGGGAAGTTGGATAGACAGATGGCACAGAAAGGAAACTAGGTCTACTTAAGCAACATGACGGCTCAGTGTGAAGCCACAGCCACTTGTTTCTTCAAACATGTTAAACTAGGGCTGCCATCCAAAGGACTTTATGCTCTGCCCCACTCCATGTATTGAAAAAGGTGCAGTAAGTGTGTTTGGTTCCCTGTAGTTGAAAGTGAGAGAAAGCTGGAACTGCCTCCTTTAGAGGTATTTTCAGCTTACGTGAGATTGAATTATTAATGGCTCTTGGCTGCATAAGTTAACTTTAAAGTAAGTCAACTGACTCATGAGACAGAAAAATTGCCTGTCAGCATTGGTTTCCAAATCATTGATTTTATAATGGAGCAAGGGATAGAGCAGATGACCACTTGATACATGTCTAAGACTTACTTGCTGTATTTCCGGTAGAGAATAAGGGGAAGGACAAGCCTGAGGAGTGAACTTCAAGACTCTTCTTTTTGATTTCTTCGACTTGCACATGTCAGATTGTTCATACTTCTGCTCATCAATTCGGTGTGACATACAGAGGCTTCTGCTTGGCTTGAAACAACATTAGCTTATAACTCAGTAATTTAATAGCCAAAATGTATTTCCAACATGTGGAGATGGTATTTTTGTGAGAAGAAATCAGCTGGCAAGGAATAGAAATTTGTATTGAGTTCCAGTGACTTATTAATTACTGGTGCAACTACTGATTCTTTATAACAACATCTAGAGTATCTAAACTATTTTAAACTTTAAAATAAGATAGATTAGTTTGTCTCCTAATAAAAAACCCTCTAATTCTTTTTGACAAGTCTATAATTAATTTTGGGTTTATATAATCTCTACTGAGATGCATCTCTTTACATAATACAGCTGCTTCACCTGCAGTGTTTTTTTCATTTGGTGGGTCACATACTTGAGTCAGTTTTGGTTTCTTGATCTGAGGCTACTCACTTCAGAAATGTATTTGTACCAGCCATGAATCATGATTGTAATGAACTTCTCTTTTTAGCATCAGATCCCAAATTACACTTTGTTCATAAGACTTCACTTATCTTTATCTATCTGAAAACATTATTTGCTTTCACCCAATGGAGTGTAGAATTTGGAAGAGGTGATCACCTTGGGCATGCTTTAAAGAATTTTTGAATCAATTTTGAAATTCAGATGCCAGACAAAGCACATGATTATCCCTCTGAATCAAAATTAGTATCGAACAAGAACTGGAGAAAGGAGTACAGTTTAAAAAAGGCTGAGGTCTGTGGTTGAGATGGAATGAGTGCTAGCTTTCATTGCTGATTTAGTGACTTAGCTAAAGTTCCATAAAACTTAATATAATTACAAGAGGAAAAGACACACTTTTATAGCATTAGATCAGGTGCTAGTCACTGTTTGGAAACCACATCAACTAGAGCTAACATGTGCTTGCTAATGGGTAGATAGTGAAATAGAGGACACATGCTGTACGTACATAGGCTGAAACTGTTCTGGTAAGCACTGTTCTTTTTCACTGAATGCCTGACCTGAAAACTCCTGTAATACTCAGTGAAGATGTAAAGAGAAAATGCTGTGCTTGCCACTTAGCTCCAACTCATCACCTCTGATAATGAGCCAGAATCCAGAAGGTATTTCTTCTGCAAGAGTCTCTCATTTTAAACTAAAGACAAAATTTCTGTTAGGCTTCATTTCCTGCTTTCTTTAATCAAGCAGTCCTTGACTTACTAAAGTCAAAGACATCTTATCCATTTTGAACCTGAAAAGTAGATTTAACAAAATAGGATGGCTTCTTAGGTTTTAATAATAATGTATCCTGTTGTGGCTTGATATGGGTATGCATTTAACATGTTCTCTTTGTCTTAAAGTCTCATCCACAACAAGTGTGCCACATGTTTCTCATTTTTCAGAATGCACATGGAGCATGTTTAAAATTTCTTGATGGAAAAAAAATCAATGCATAACTGACTTTTCTGTTTTGCAGGTGGGGGAATTAGTTAACTTGGCTTATGAGTGTGCCATGGTTTGGGCTTAGATCATCTAACTGGGAGTTTTACAGACTTTCACTAGTAAAAATCCCTCTGTAAAGATCTCTATACAGAATGACTTGTGTGAACCGCTTTTCAGCCTTAGACTGTACTCAAAACCTACAGCAAAAGCTGAAATTACTTACTGAGATCATACAGATGTTTTTTCCAATTTTTTTGTGATTCTCCTTGGAAGGCTAAATGCAGCACATGAGGTGTTAAGGCTCTCTCTCTTGCTGGAGTGAAGCTGTTTGTAGTACGAAATTAAAAATCAGTGCTGTTTTTTCCCTTAACTTAAGTGTTAGGCAGTTTGACTTCAATACAATTTCCATCAAATATGTTGCCTTTCCTCTCAGTTCAGCATTTTTTTTTCATCAAGTCTCATAAGATTTCGTAGCTTGCTTTAGGAGAATCTCTTACTGGGATCTGTAGTTTTGCTATTGAATTTCATTTTTAGTGCTTTAAATTATTACTCGATTGTTATAGCTTCTAGAACAATATGCCTGTTCTAGAGGTGGTGTTCTGCTAAAAAGTACTCTTAAGGACTCTGAATCATCTCCTTGAAGTATAACCATTGGTCACTTACCTGTCACAAGATCCATATAGGCATTTGTTAAAAATAAAAGAAAAAGCAGTTTTCCAAAGTGGAAGACTTTAGAATCTGTATGAGTTTCATGGCTCACTGTTGTCTATCCTTTTCAAAGACTTTTAAAAACTTACAATCGTGGGACGGCAGGCTTTCTTTAATAAACTTTAAAAAAATATTTGAGATAGCAATTAAATCTAATTAAGAAATATGCAATACAGGAAGATAAGTTAATAAAAAAATGAATGTATTATGTCTCAATTGCAACTTGCCCCTCTTCTGTGTAATTAACATTTTGTAAATATGTTACATGAGCATTTATGAAGAAGTTATTGGCCTCTCTGCCTATAAGACTTAAAAAAACCCAACCCACCACCAACAAACAAACAAACAAAAAAACCCCACAAAAACCCAAAACAAAAAAACCCAAACCTAAGCAAAACAAATACACCACACACTTCCCTTTACAGTGGAGATTTGGAACAGCTGAAGGGTCTTCTTAAACTGTTGTTTTGTTATATGTGAATTGTCCCTTTTTAGAGTTCAGAGAGCTATACATAAGTCAATGTCAGTGCTGAGACAACAGTTAATCTCTTTTAGCTTTTGATATCTGTACTGTGCAACGAGTTTGTCTTGTTTGCTTATCCATCCCTTTCCCTAAAATATTTTAGATAATGGGCATGACAAGAAGAAATTTAAGAGAGACAGATCACAATGCTCCCCTTCACGTGTCCTTCATCTTCGTCAAATTCCAAGTGGTGTTACTGAAGCAGAAGTCATTTCATTAGGCATCCCTTTTGGGAAAGTAAGCAACCTCTTGATGCTAAAAGGAAAAAGTCAGGTATGTCATTTTCAATATTTTAATTATAAGAGCAAGACTGAAGATGTGGTTCATGTTAGGAACCTTTTGGTATTGCATTTGGCTGAAATGATCACTACAATGTCTAAATATTTCATTGATAGCTCCAGATTTTAATATTTTCAAATGCAAAAGGATGTCTTGATATTTACTTTAAGTTTTTAATATGCTTTTGGATTAAAAAATGGTCTAGTAAGTTGTTAATAATATTGCTAAACATTATATCCACCTTATGTAAGAATATATGGATGAAGAGTAACTACATTGTCACTATTGATATTGACATATATCTTGAAATAACCTGCCTGATTAAATAATTAGCATGCATATTAATTTTTTAAATGTGAAATAAATTGCTTAGGTTTTTTTTTTTTTTTTTATCCTTTTAGATGTGACTGGGTAGTTCACATCACAAATAAACACTGAAGTCCTAAAAATAATAGACATTCATTCAAAAATCATCTAGACCACTGAGCTGGGTTAATATAATGCACAAACTGATTGATCTTTAGTGTCCTGTTCCTACTTTTTCTATCAGTATGTGTATCTGCTACCTAGGTAATAGTGTGTGGGTTCAGGAATCTAATAAGTTCATTAACAGTGTGGTATTTTTAGTAGCATTGCTTCCTGTACGTCATACTTATTCCACCTCTTCTTAAATGATTTGTTGTAATTACAAGGTAAAATCTTTTAAGAAAACTCACAAATTAAATGAAATATCCCCATAAATATGCACACACAAATGCATTTTAATGCTGAGCAAATCAGTACTATACTTTCATATGACCTTTGTCTAGTGAGAGTGGAATTGGGAATAAATGGTGCTTTGAAGCTTTATTCTCTCCTGTAAACAAAACAACACTGAAAACTGCTGTGTATTGTTTGCAGGCATTCTTGGAAATGGCTTCTGAAGAAGCTGCTATTAATATGGTCAAGCACTATACACCTGCTGCAGCTCACCTCCGCAGCCATCCTGTTTATATTCAGTATTCCAATCACAGAGAACTTAAGACTGACCACGTACCTAATCAGGCGGTGAGTATATTCCCATTTAACAGGATAGAATTGCACTTGGGTTGTGTACTGATTTTGTCTAGGACAGAGTTAATTTTCTTCATAGTAGCTTGTGACACTTAAGTAACATCAAGGACTTATCTGCTTCTCAGGCTGCCCTGCCAGTGTGAGTGCACAAGAAGTTGGGGGGGGGGACACAGCTGCAACAGCTGCCCCAGCTGAGCAAAGGGATATCCCACATCGAATGACATTGTGCTCATCAATGAAAGCTGGGGGAAGGAGGAACATGGGGTGTTTGGAATTATGGTGTTTTTCTTCCCAAGTAACTGTTATGATGGAGCCCTGCTTTCCTGGAAAGGCTGAACACCAGTCTGCCAATGGGAAGTAGTAAAGGAATTCTTTATTTTACCTTGCTTACACATGCAGCTTTAGCTTTCCGTGTTAAACTGCCTGTATCTCAACCCATGAGTCTTCTCACTTTTATCCTTCTGATTCTCTTCCCATCCTGCTAGTGGGAAGTGACCAGGGGGAAGTGACCAAGCAGCTGTATGGCACAAATATGTTAAATATGTTGTGGGTTAAACCACAACATTATTAAATAAAGAGACGACTTTCCACTACACCAGTAGTCAAATTCTGATAGATGTTATTTCTGTCTGTTGTTATCTAAGCATTAACTGCTTTCAGACAGGGACTTCTCAATACCTGTAAAATTACTATAGAGGAGCTCAAGCTCAAAAATGAGCAGGAAATCAAGTGAAGGTGGCAGAAGTGCTTGGATGAACAAAATGCTCCTGACTGAACTCGAACATTACAGAGGCATAGAAAAGGTAGAATCATGGACAGGTGACCCAGCAGTAATATAGTGCATTATCTGAACATGCAGGGATATCATAAGGAAAGTCAAACACCACATGGAATTAATTGGCCTGGCGAGGGATGTGAACAGCAGCAAGAATTGCTCCTCAAAGCATATCAGCAGCAGAAGGAGGATTTAGGGCATACATGGGCCTGCTACTGCATGGGGCAGGGGCCCTGATGACAAAGCATATGGAAAAGGCTGAAGTACTGGATGCCTTCTCAGTCCGTAGGAGTTAAGACTTGCCCTTGAGAATACCAAGCAACTCAGAACAGTGGGAAAGTCTTAATGAAGAAATTAGAGAAGAATCTCGTTAGGGAACATTTAAACAAACTGGATAAACAGAAGTCTGTGGCCTTAATGAGATGCGCTCGTGAGTGCTGAGGAAGCTGGGTGATGTCATCGCAAGGCCACTCTTACAAAATCTTGGAAAGGTCATGGCAGTTGGAGGAGGTTTCTGAGGCCTAGAAGAAAAAAAATTCTTCTCCTGTCTTAAAGAAGAACAAGGAGGATCCAGGGAACTGCTGGCTCATCAGCCTTACCTCGGTCCCTGGTAAGGTAAACTAATCCTTCAGGCCTGAAGTACAGATTATTTTGCAGGGTTACATGTCTCTGAAACTGGGTAACATCTTTACTGTGTGCCGTGTTTAGTCTATCTTCCAAGGAAATAGTGTTACTGAGACACGACTTCAAGTCACAACACTATGTTTGGAAAGGAAGATGTCTCCACAGTGCTCTCGACAGTAGTCTGAAGACTGTTTTGAGGAGACCCCATCAAAAACAAGCATAGAGAGTTCCAAAGTTCCAGGGAAATAGTTTGAGGAGAGAGATTTAAAAGTGTTTTTTGTGGTTGATAGCTTGGCTCAGAAAAAAGAGCAGGGCATGCACGCTTAAGTTTATCCCCAGCAGAACTTAGATCCTGAAGAGAATGAAAGCCTAATAAAGCAGAACAAATAGTTTTTGGAAAACTGACTTTTTTTGTCTATTACAATATTGTCTCATATTGATTTGCTGGAAAATGTCTAGAATGACAAAAGCTTACTGAATCAAAGCAAAATTGTGTTTATATGGCATTACAAAATAGTAACAGTTTAACTAAAAAAGAAAGTCAGAATTCTGTGAAAGTATGGTTTGACTCCTTTCAGGAAAAGGGGAAGGGAAGGAAGAGGTATGATTTACCCGTTAACGTGGGATTTGAATCAATAATCAGATAAAGAGAACATGTTTTTAAAAGTTGCATTTTGAATGCATTTCACATGATTGCCTTTGTAAGAGAACTTTGTTTAGATACGAATAATTTGGTGTAAGTTATCTGTGGTCTCTGCTGTGTCATGATTTCAGAAAGTCCGAGCTGCATTGCAAGCTGCGAATGCTATGCAGACTGGTAACGTGGCTATTACAAGTGCCTTTGATGAAGGTGGGCTCCAACCGGGTCAAAGTTCTGTTCTTCGAATCCTTGTTGAAAACCTTTTCTACCCTGTCACTTTAGAGGTGCTGTATCAGGTAATGAGGATTACGAAAAGTAAAAAAAAGTTAAAATCTGTTCCAATGTTGTCATTGTAAATCCATTAACTTTTTTTTTTTTTTTTTAAAGTACCATTGTTTAAACATTTAATCATTTGAATGAGAACTGTCACTTTAAAATGATTTGTTGCAATTTAGGGATCTAGCCTTGAATCAGTTTTGCACACAAAAAAAATAATCAAAGTAAACAGAACTTCTGTACTCAGCATTTCATGTTGTCTTTCATTTCTTTTAGTTCCTTGGTTTCTGTGGAAGCAGCAACAAACTCGAGATGTTCCTTTTAATTTATGCCTGTCTGATGAGCTAGTGAAATACTGATTGTTATGAACCTGTGGACCAATATTTTAGCACTTCTTGTACTGAGAAACTTTTATAGTTTGGATTATGTTTTAGAGATTTAAATTCACTTTTACAATTCAATGCAAGTGGTGTAATATATAAGTATAGTTGCTTGGACAAATGTTTTTGACATTCATGTTTGTTGATTGTTCATCAACTGTTAGACTGTAATTTTCTTAACTACCTCTGAAAGCCTAGAATGCTGGTGGGCTATAGCTAGTTGTGACTTTGATATACAACTTGCCTGATCTAAACTTTTGTTTGTGTCTCTGAGTATTGTTCACTTGTTATTGAGCTCATGCAAATATGATGTCAACTGTTTAGAATTATTAGTGCACTCAGAATAACCTGAGAACAAACTTCTGTGGTTATAGGAGTTGTATTAGTTCAATAGTGCAACAGTAGTTCCTGGATCTTTTTTGTTTGGTCTTTTTTTTTTTTTTTTTTTATAAGCAGGCAATGGAAGAGGAGATTCATGTTAACTTACTTTAATTTGATTAATGTCTGCTTCAGTGCAGCAGAACTATATTTTCAGTCTTTGAATGGCCCAATGACCCTCACTCAACTACTTTTGCAATAGGTCTAGAAAATTAAGCAATATTTGAAAAGGGAGCTTATTTGGAGTTCTTCACAGGGAACAGTCTCCTCTAATTAAAGCAGTACTCTCTGCCTGATAGCTACAATGTAACATGGCTTTGTAAGTGCGATAAGGTTAATGGCAATGAAAATTTTCACTGGTTAAGTATAGCATTACATGGAATACTAGCAAGCAAGCTGCCATCCAAAACTTCGATTATATTTCATAAGTTATGACTGTTCTCAAGAAACTAATCCTTTTTGTTACCACAGTTCACCTTAAAATATTTATTATAAGAAGCAGTATATGCATTATTATCTTTGCAGAAAATATTTGATATATACAATGGGTTTTTAAAACCAAACAGTAATTGGATTTTATTATCCTAAAAAAAGGTCTATTTGGTGTTATGAATAATAGGCTGGCAAGGGACCTTTGTCCTTATCTCTAGCCTTTCTTTCCATTCTAGGCTTAATATTTGTCTGGTAAATTCTGCGTTCTCGACTTTGCATCGATTCTATCAGTTTGTTCTAAAACTGTTTGTACTTCCCAAACCTACCTTTTCTCTTTCACTATTAATTTGGACACAGTTTTTCTGCACTTGCATTATAGCTGTACTTTTGTCCTTGTACTCTGTGGCTTTGCTTTTGTATAGACATCTTCCTGTAGTGAACACTCGCATTTTGATAGTATATATATGATATTTTAGCCTTTTAAAATTTTTCTGCAATACTTGCATTTGCAATAAATGAAATACCATTCAATTGTAAATTAGAGGGATAGGTCCCAAACTAGGTCTTTGTTGTGTTTCTTTCCTTCTTTGTCTTCTACTTTGGACGGTGGGTCCGTGTAATTAATTTGTGGGCACATCAACTACTTACAATGTATTTTTGGTCGCCAAATTTGCAGAATTTGTTTGAAGTAGAGAATGTAAATGTGGATACCTTGAAAAGCAGTTTGCAGTTCTCATCTCAGCTGACGTGGGGAAGTTCATTTCTCAAACCTCAACTTTGATTATCCACAATACCTCTGCGGACACTGGACAATTACCTTTTTGGGCTGGCCTTCCCTGCTCTTAGTTGAATAGTCATTGCTAAATCTTTAAGGAAACGTTATTGTTCTTCCCCATCTTTTGTAGCCTCTTTTTAAAGTCGTGGATTTTTTTTTTAACCTGAAACAAAATTTTCAGTTCACTTAATTTCTGTTCAGCTCTCACAAAATAAATAATTTTCAGAAATTTAGATGAAGTATGAAAATGCAAGCTTTTAGTGTGCATGAATTATTCATTGTTTCTCAAAGTCTGTGTTTTTTCCTTCTCAGATTTTCTCTAAATTTGGATCTGTCTTGAAGATTATCACCTTCTCTAGAAATGATCAATTCCAAGCTTTGCTCCAGTATGCTGATCCAATGAGTGCATATTATGCCAAAATGGTAAGTGTAGTGTATTCAGCTTAATTTTTTTGGCTGGGTTTTTTTTCCTAGATAAATGGAAAACATTAAGGATAGCTCGATCCTTCACTGTGACTTCTCATCATTCTAACACTCTTGTTGCACGTGAATAACTTTGACATCCCTCATTAGTTAAGAGGATAACACTCCGTCATCAACTGTAAACATAAACGTACAGCACACAGCCCATGACCTGCATGAGTATACCAAAACAAAAATTGGAGCTATCAATAGTGATGGTAACTGTAGTGGACCAAAAAGTCTTTTGGCTTTCAAACTAAATGGAATGTTTTCAGTGAAGTTCAATACTAAGAGTAGTGTGGTTAAATGCTCAGAGATTAATTAACGTTACGTGTTTCGCTTGTTTGAATTTCAGTGAGAAATTTATAGTAATCAATGTTTTCACCTTAAACTTCTTAATTTCAAATGAGCTGTACCCCGATTTTTAAAAAGCACATTCTCAGTAATGAAAAGATCTCACCTACTTTAGGTGTGTGTTCTGTGGAGAGTTAACCTTGGCTGGCTGCTAGACACTCACCAAGGTGCTCTCACTTCCCTTCCTCAGCAGGACACACAAGGAAAATGAGGAGAAAAACTCGAGGGCCAAGATAGGCACAGGGAGATTGCTTACCAATTACCATCACAGACATAACAGGCTTGATTTAGGGAAGAATGATTTAATTTATTGCCAATTGAAAACAGAGCAGGATAGTGAGGAACAACAACAAAACCGAAAACATCTTCCTACACCTTTATTCCTTCCTTCTAGGCTTGTCTTCACTCCCTACCCTTCTACCTCCTCTCCCCAGGCAGCACAGGGAGATGGGGAATGAGGCTTGCAGCCAGTCCGTAGCACTGTCTCTGCTGCTCCTTCCTCCTCACACTGTTCCCCTGCTCCAGCATGGCTCCTTCCCACAGGATACAGTCTTTCACAAACTGCTCCAATGTGGGTCCTTCCCATGGGCTGCAGGTGGATCTCTGCTCCACTGTCATCCTCCATAGGTGCAGGGAGACAGCCTGCCTCACCATGGCCTTCTCCAGGGGAATCTCTGCTCCCGCACTTGGGCCACCTCCTCCTCCCTCGCCTTCTCTGACCTTGGTGTCTGCAGGCTTGTTTCTCTCATGTTTTTCTCACTCCTCTCTCTCCCAGCTGTTGCACAGTGTTTTTTACCCTTTCTTAAACATGTTATCACAGAGGCACGACCAGTGTTCTGACTGGCTCTGCTTTGGGCAGCAGCTGGTCTGTTTTGGAGCTGGCTGGAACTCACTCTGTCCAGGACGAGGCAGCCCCTTGTCTCTTCCCACAGAGGGGCAGCAGCCCCCACCACCAAAACCTTCCCACAGAAACCAAATACGTTTTTTTCAAAACAACTTTTAGAATTAGTTTCCTTATAATAGCTAAATATTTTCATTTCTAGAAAATAGTGTTGATTTCCTCAGTGAGGAGTAGTTTGAAAGCTGAGACCTCAAAGGTTTTTGCAGAAGAGACAGCAGTATTACAAATCATCATGTTATATAATACTTGAACTGTCAAGTAAAAGATAAAGACAGAAAATAAAATACTTCACTTACTTGAAGCTAAGCCTGAGACACTATATTTCTCTTTAATCTATGTGGTCACCTCAATATTAGTAAATAAATAAAATCAATTTGAAAATTCCCATAGAAGGTATATAGAATAATAGATTCTGTTAAGTATCAAGTGGTATTCAGCATTCAGGTGGTTTTTTTTTTTTTTTTAAATTACCAAAAGACTAGAGTGAATGGAACTTTTACCCTACTTTTGTTATTGAAGTTGACTTTATTCGCAGCTTCAAAATTGAAGGCACAGAATATTTATCTATTGCTACTTGCACTTTAGTCCAGTAAGTAAATTCACTGTGTGTTTTAAGAGATTAAGTATATATTGGAAATTAGTAAAAGTAGTTTGGGTTATAGCCTGTTTGTTAGCAATAGCATCTTTTCTTAAAGAACAGTATTAATAACAAATTATACCTTATTAAAGATTTCACAGAAATTATCATTTCAGTCTAGATTATATTAAATAATTATAACAAACCAGTATCTTTTGAGTGGTTTTTTTTTCTCCCTTCATCCATCATGATTTTTGTATGACTGGTATAGGCAGAAAAAACTACTTCATTCACCTTTCTGAGCGTAGCTGCTCTTAAAAAGATGGAATTTATAGAATAATTTAGGTTGGAAAACATCTGTAAGATCATCAAGTCCAACTGCTAACCTAACACTGCCAAATCCACCACTAAAGCATGTCCCTAAGCACCACATCTACATGTCTTTTAAATACCTCCAAGGATGGCGACTCAACCGCTTCCCTGGGCAGCCTGTTCCACTTCTTGACACCACTTCCAGTGAATAAATTTTTCCTAGTATCCAATCTAAACCTCCCCTGGCACAACTTGAGGCTGTTTCCTCTTGTCCTTTCACTTGTTACCTGCAAAAAGAGACTGACACCCACCTCGCTACAACCTCCTTTCGGGTAGTTGAAGAGAGCAATAAGGTCTCCTCTTAGCCTTCTTTTCTCCAGGCTGAACAACTCCAGTTCCCTCAGCTGGTCCTTGTAGGACTTGTGCTCTACACCTTTCACCAGCTTCAATAAAAATCTCCAACTTAGTATCACTATTAGCATCTGATATCATGTGTTGAGTGGGAGACAAGTAAGATTAGAAGCACAGCTTGAAAGACAAGTCATGCTTGACGCTATGTTTTGTCCGTTGGCACAAGACAACATAATACTTACTAATTAGTGGACTACACGAGTACTCTACACAGGATGTTTAGGTAAGGATAGTGGCAGTATAATTGTCTACTTGCTGTTTAAAAGCAGCACCTTAAAAAGAGTTTCTGTTTGGATACAATTGCAAGGTGAAAATAAAATAAACTTACCGTGGAGGCTGCCACTATGTGTTTTGTGTCTGAAAATGTAATTATTTTTCTTTAGGCTCTGGATAGCCACAGTATCTACAGTGGATGCTGCACTCTGCGAATTGATTTCTCCAGGTTAACTAGCCTTAAGGTAAAGTACAACAACGAGAAAAGCAGAGATTTCACTCGTTTTGACCTTCCTTGTGGTGATGGCCAGCCACCCCTGGAGCCAGCCATAGTTCCTGCCTTTGGTAAGAAAATTTCACTTTTAGTGATAAATACACGATAAGATCATTATGCTTTTTATGTTGCATTTATGCTCTGGCTTCATAACAGGTTCATACAGGAGCACGTTTTGCATACATTTCTGTTTGTTAAGTCCCGTAAAGTTTGTACGTAAAGCAGGAAGCCCTACTCAAGATGAACGAGTATCTGAAACTATGACATGAGGAATGCTCTTGGGTAAATTCAAAGTGTTGTCAAAAAGCTACATTTGTAAAATGCTGTGAAATTATGTCATCGGTACAGGCAGTATAATAAATGTGGCACATCAGAACAGTCAATGGCAGTCATCCAAAATTGACAGTGGTTGCCTAAAGCTGCTTGAAAATAAATGTTCTAAGGGTGTTAGCTCTTACTTGCTGATATTTTAGGATAACTGCCTGCTGTAACAAACAAAACCAAGAGAAACTTAGAAATGCTACACTTATTTATGTATGTTTTGTAGTTACCTTCTAAAAGATAAAATCTCAAAAATTTCCTTGAAATATAGAAGTCACTTCCATGGCATAGAGAAGACAGCGTCTGCCTGAAGCCACACTGGAGAAGCGTTTTTGGCATAAATAGCTCATGCATGCTTATTTAATCAATTTTGGTAATGCGTATCATCGAACAGATTAATCTGATGACCTGGCAGAAGGACTCACAGTGCAATTTAAGTGATTTTAGCTCTTTTTCTTTCTCTCTAATGACAACCATTAGCAGTAATCCACAGCTAAGAACTATCTCAGCTGTTGAATAGGTGTCTTAGTACTGTCCAGTTGGTTTGAACAGTAGTAAAGACTGGGAAGAATTTCTTTTTTTCCTTCAGTTTTCTTTGATAGCTAGGGCAGATACTGGGTTTGATTTGGTTTTTTGGATAGTCAGCTTTGGTAGCTTAGATTAGAGTAAGAAAGTGAGTTGCACTCACTACTTTCTTGTTTGTTTTTGCTGGTCCCCTTAAAAGCAAGCCTTGGATCTTATGTAATGTACAACCCTCTTTATAATTTTTTTGAGGACTTGCCTTACAGCATCATGGAAATATGCTGTTATAGATCTGGTATGTTCTGATTAATTAGACTTACACAATCTGAAATACCAATGGAAGGAGAAAGTACAATTTGAGTAGATTTAGGACAAACTTGCTTGTAGGGCAGAGATAACATGGTATGCATGCTTTTGGAGGATAACACATGAACACTTCTCCATTTCCTTTCCCTTCATTCTTCCAAGCTTGTCATTGCTAGCAATCTCATTTTCAGTCTGGACACTTACTGTAATAGTAAGAACAGCAGAGGTGCTGGTGTGAAGAAGAGTCTGATGCCTGTATCAAAGTGTGTTTGTAGTGCAGTCACAGTGAAGCAGCTGCATAGATGTTTTTCTTTGAAAAAAATAGCCGTGGACTGGGAGAAACATGCTTCTAGCTGTTGCTCACCAGCCTGGGCTGCAGCACCAGGGATACTGTTGCATCTTCCGCAGCCAGGAGGAAATGGCCTGCCTCTTGTGGGCAGGATAGGTACCTTGAGTTGAGTAGTTAATTAGTAGTTCATTATCTCAACTCAGTCCAGCTGGGTAAGAATGATTAGTGCCATAATTCCCCCTTTTTGTTTTACCATTTTTTTTGTTTTCACAAAGGCTTTAAGGTGAGCAGAGACCCGGCCCATTCATCCAACTCCAGCACGCTTCCCTCCCGCGAATACCATGTCGGGGCTTGCGGCTTTACCTTCTTCTCCGAAGGACTCTCGCTCGAGCTCCCGGCTCCGGCTCCGGCTCTTTTGGCTCGGGCTCCTTTGCAGCCAGGGCTCTCGGCTCGGCGAGGGAGTCGGGGCTTCCCAGGGTCTCATCGATGTATCACGTCGGGGTCACCAGTTGTTGCTCACCAGCCTGGGCTGCGGCA